AACTGGGAAATACAGAAACTGGGATGATGGGCGGCGGTGGTGGTGGAGTTCGAACTCAGGAACTCCAGGTGGCTATTGATGATGATTTCGGCTAACCACCACCGCGTTCCACTGATACGTAACGCACGATGTCTTGATTAGAGCGGATACATGAGTAGGTTTGACGATGAGCTGAAGAAAATGAATGAAAAGGTTTAGATTATTGAATACACATATCTAATGATAAGCGGTCACCTCAAAACGATTCGTGTGACCCGAGAATAATTTTGTACAGCCACTCAGATACTAATTGTCCTACCAAATATATAAATTATGCACCACTGAAGTCAATTCAACAGGCGTGGTATTTCGCACAAGCACAATCTAAGTGTCGTTGGTGTCAATAAATCGAATGTACATGGTTGTGTTCTGTGAGCCGGCAACGGCAGATATTCTAGAAGACAAACGCGTCGAACAAACGCAGTCTAATGACTTCATGCTCTAGCAAGTATGAATAGTTAAGGCCAGCTATTTGAAATAATGAGCCCTAGCTAAATCTGAACTTCCCCATTGCATTTCTACCACCTTCTCTAAAGGATGCGTCAATTGTGAAACTGTAGTGGCTGCATCACTAATTAAAGACATAATTTTAAAATTTTTAACGACGGCGGTTATTTGCGGAAAATCGACACTTCCAAATTCCTCCAGCAAATTTGTGAATATCAGTAACAACGAAATCATCATACTATCCTCAGGCCCAAACCAATATTGTTCAGGGATTTGTCTTGTTGTTAATCAGGCACGCGTCTTTTACGTGAAGAGCAACTCAATGCGAATATTTTTTTAATGCACCATGCTTTGTTTTCAACCAAATAAATCATGCATTATTTGTGATTATCCATGGGAATGAGTAGATTTTAATCCGCTTGAGTGCATGCTTGTCTCTCCATCTGATATACTATGTTTTATCATTTGATCGAGTATGTTCAACATAGTAACATCATTTCTGCAACTGGGTCTCCAATGTAGCTATCAATTAGTGAAACCGTATAACCAAATACCCATACTAAAGATGTATTTCTCAAATCAGAGCCAGAAACAAATTTCACTGAGCATCAGCTCTCCAACCCCACACCCGCCCCTATCCAGTGCCAACTAATACAATCCTAACAGATATTTCTTCTCCTCACTGTCCCGTCCCGACTACATCACACGCTAGACTTGACATGGTTTCTAGTGTATCCTACGTAACATCATCCTTCTCTCTCGCTCTAGCTCACAACTTTCATCAATATCTTAATCTGCCCATCTCCTTACTGCTTTTGTATTTGTCTTTTATCCCGTCACTCTCTCCACTTTCTCTGCTTGCTTACTCCTGTCATCTTTCTGAAGTGAACTGTACTCGATCAACCAGATATCTCTACTATGCTTGCCTTGTATATGAAACCACCCGATGCACTGTATTGCAAGGACATTTTTCGGAAACATCTTTCTTATAATGATTCTCCTGCAGATGAACTTCAGAGTTTATAATATAATTTCATTTACATCAAAGACAATTTCCCGAAATTTGGTATTTGTGTTTTATTCGGTTAATATTTTGAAGTTGGAAATAGTTATTACATGTAGCGCGCGAGGTTTGAGACACAATGTAAAAATAAAGGTTCAATATTTTTTCACGCCGTGTATCTGCCGACATGGAGGTATTCATAAATGTATTGCAAAGCCGTTTCAGATACTTGAATAATTTGTCAAGTGATGAATTGAAACTGCGAGTTTTCAATTAAAAGTTATGCCCAAGACCAACATTTTACTACTGGCAATTGTTGGTCTAAAACTAAATTTATCAAACGCCGCTTTTTTACTAAAAGCCTTAGATTTCTTCTGCGGTTATCTGACACGGGTCAGAAGAAGAACATCAGACAAGTTACCGGAAATATAAATATAGAGAAATGTTGTCTTTGCACTTCGTGCATAGTAGACAATAAGGGGATAAGGGGGAACCTTCACTAAATGGGAGATCAAAAAGCGTGCCCCTGTTTCGAGCAAAGTAATCGTCTCCACCGGTCGCTCATGCATACCTAGCAGAGAGTTGCTTCAGGTAGATTGAAATCGAAACCTCGATCGACATGAACCGGATGTCGATCTAAATCGGTGACTTCTTCGTGACAGGGTAGAATTTGGAGTAGGATAACAAGACAAATCAACGGAACAGAACGTCAATATGTACATTGCGAACCTTATAAATCATATGAGGTTCATACCTTCATAAGTAGTAAGAACGAATCACAGAAGATAATTGTGATAACCGATCAGTTTTATTTTTTCCGAATACTTCAAGTGGCGTCTGTATCATTTTTTTAATTAAAAGTGGGGTATACTTGCGGGGAACTGTCTCATGGAAGCTGAAACTGTCCAAACGCGCGTATATTTAGATTATTCGGATAAAACGTCTATTTACAGAATATTGGCAGATAAATAGACCGACAGTGAGACAAACAAACGAAAAAATAGGAGGAAAGATTTACACGGACATTTTTGGGTCGTATTACACAATCTACATATACAGCGAGTTACAAACGTTTCATTTAAAATCGAACCGCAGTTTAAAATTCCGATAAATGATTGAGTGAAATTTAATAATAGATATTTGAAGAGTTTTCCTCGTTCTGCTTTTTTGTTATTGAATTATA